CAACCAATTCTTTAATAGTCGCTTTTCCAATACCAACAAACTCTTTGCTAAAAAACTACTTCCAAACAACTTTCTAGAGCTGTTGCCCAGGTTGGCTTGACCTATATGGGTTAGAATTTTGACAGGTCATAGGTCAAAAATTGGCTTGACCCAGGTCAAACAGGTTAGTTAAATGAACAGATAGATAGCAATAACCAGTTTTTTCCAATATAGAAAATGAATGAACTCTAATTATGAGCAAGGTCGAAAGTATTTTTTGACACAAAACCTGAGAATTTTCAATTTAAAATGGTTATATTTTAAATATATCTTCAAGTTTAACTTATATGACTATTGACAAGGGTCAACTCGGGTCAAAAATGGTTGACCCGGGTCGCTATTTTTCAACCCAGGTCACAGCTCTACAACTATCCATCCACAACACAGCTACTACTACCTAACTAGCAATCACATCCTGACAATTATCTTATCTTCAATAACTACCCTTCCACTTCTTTCCCAAACCAGAATCGCTTTATCAACACAAGCACTTCCCGACAACAACCCACCTCTATAATTCCCAACATATTCCTCTATTATAATTATTTTCCAGCATATTTAAGTATTGATAAATAAATAAATAAATAATTATATTTAAAGTTAAATAAGAAACTTTAAATTGAAAAATTCAAAATTGTGCTGGCCAATCAAAATTTTAAAATCACATGTAATTTATTGAGTTAAATTACATATAATCTTAAAATTTAATTAGCCGAAGAAATTTTTGAATTTTAATGTTATTAAAAAAAATTGATTTTTAACATAACCATGTTTTTTTTATTAATTTATATCATTTTTTATTAGATATTAGTTACAATTATATTGGGAAAGTTGGTGTGTTGACGAAGTGGTTGGGGAAGTGTGATGTTGGTGTTGGGGAAAGGAGAAGTATTAATATTGGGGAAATGATAGTTGTTGGGAAAAGATGGTATTGAAGATAGAGTTAATATGAGTTGAATTAATGAATATCAGGTGCATACCAAGAGACAAGTTTCCTGTTATGTACCCGATAGTCTGTAGCATATTGGTCCAATATGCTACTGTTATTCAGCAGATATTTGGCAGATCTATAGCAGACTATTGGGTACATAACAAGAAACTTGTCTCCTGGTATGCACCTGATATTCATTGTTTAAACCTGTGTATGCACCTGTGATGCAATTTCTTGCACCAAGTCACAAAGTGGCTATACAGAAATAATTGATCTTTTCACTAGTCCTATCACTATGTACGTATCTCACCACATATTGGTAACTAGAATATCAAGTAAATTCAATGTAGAATTATTATTATTAGAAATCAAGCAATTTAAATACAACTACTAAACTTTAATTATACAGAAATCAAAATAATTCCAATACAAACTAACTTACCCATATATATTATGGTTATCAAAATAGTAAGTTTTGAAAGTGAATTTTTTTTAGAAACACGTGATAGAAATCAATAATTCCAATACAAACCAACTCATAATTCCCTATATAGAATTCATAATAATTCCAATTAAAACTAGCTAGACCTTAATTACATGAAATTTTAGCTATATATTAAGGATATCGAAATGGCAAGTAAGCTCTGTACCAGAATTTTTTTAAAGTAAAAATTCTAAAAATTCTAATGCATTCTAATGCAAACTGACTTAATTACAGATAAATCATGACAGTTCTAATACAAACTAGCTCTATCTTAAACACAATACTGCCTTAATTTTAACAATGTATTATGGTTGTCTAAATAGAGATAAGCTTTGTAATAGAAATTTTTTACAGTAGAGATTATAATAATTTTAATATGAACTAACATGAACTTAATCACATAAAAATCACAACAATTCTAATATGAACTAATTCAATTTTAATCATGAATTATAATTATCAGATATGAAGTAAGTTCTGCATAATTTTTTTCGATAATATGAATCAATACAAGCTTTAAACACTGTATGCACTACATTGGTATATAAATTCTGCGGCAGAATTTTTAATATAACCCATGCTAGAATTCACTCGACTTTATATGATCACCGGAATACAAGTAAGTTTATAACAAGATATTTACCCATAATAATTTCAATAGAAACTAATTCAACCATAATATTAAGAACTGTGTACTATATGGTAAATTTTGTAACTGAATACTTTACAGTTGAAATTACAATAAATCTAACAGTTACTGTTGAACCTCCCAAGATCAATATGCATGGTGGACAGATTTTGTATCACTTTTTTTGAGAAATTATCAATGAAAACATTATAAACTATTAGATTTATATAATAGAAACAGACTTGATAGACAAGTTTTTACAAGTTATCGATTTTGAGAGGATCTATTTTAGGAAGGTCAACTGTAGAATTGTGATAATTCTGACATAAACTAACTAAATCTTAATATATTCCATGTGCTAGTGAGATTTCAAATAAGTTTTGGAAGATTTTTACAGAAACCACGATAATTTAAATGCAACTAAATCAATTGTATATATGGGTCTTTGCCTTGAAAATGACCTTACGACTATGAATAAAAATTAAAATTAATAGCCATCTAATAGTCCAATTTAAATATATTTTTTTTGTAGAATCTACTAAGCTTTACAAAGCAAAGAAGTTATTTTAATTGGATTACTGGATACTATAAATTTTAATATTTATTCATAAAATCTAAATAATCCCGTAAGGTCATTTTCAAGGCAAATTGCCAGATGGTGATTAAATTATTTAGACCTAAATATATCATATAGATATTTTTATTTAAAGTTTTAAAACAAGATTATACAACTATCTTATATATTTTGAATCTTACTTGCACGTATGATCATACTGGCCCTGCGCAGCTATCTTATGCATAATGTGTTATATTATATGTTCTAGAAAATAATCTATTCTTCTTTTAGTTTGCAATTTCTCTTTAATACAGAGTTAAATAAACAATCTTATCTGGCAGCTTATTATGATTCGTCTGCCCAATAAATTTATTATTCGGCAAAAACTACATAGTTGACGAATAATAAAATTGTTATTGGGCAGACTATCGTCATAAGTTACCGGATAAATTTGTTATCAGTCATGCAGATGCCTTATAACTTAATTATTTGGTCAAATGATTTAAAGTCAGCCTAAGAAGTTGAATTCCTTCGGAATTCAATTTCTTAGTCTGATGACCAAATAAACCAGTTATCAGACAGTGCCTGCCTGCCTGATAACTATTAATTATATGGTAAAAATTAAAATTAAATGCAATGCGATCAACTTTATCTATCCATGTTGTATAAAAACCTTCAATTCCGCATAGTTTAACAATCATTAAATAATACAATAAAACCTCTATAAATGCACGCACTCGGAACAAAGCTTTAACAACTACACATTAGAGATTAATAAGCGAAAGTGCATTTATAGGGAGTATGTATATACAGAGAAACCTCTCTAAATGCACTCTCCATAAATGCGCCCTCTATGTATAATCTCTTTAAATGCACAGTATAGTCTGGCCCCAGCTTATAATAGCACTATATATATTTGCTTTCTATAAATGCATACCCACTCTAAGTACACATTTTTGAAATTTTTTACTATGGTCCCAAGGGGGCGCATTTAGAGAGGTCTTTCTGTATCTGGGCCAGAACTTAAGTGTGAATTTGAGAAAGTGTGCACTTATGAAGGTTTACTTTATTATTGTGTCGCACATCAATACATAGCAAAATAGATCAAAAATCTAATTTCTGTTGACATTATAAAATCAATAATACTTGTTACCTGTTTACATAAATAATAACTACTAAAACATGAAAAAATTAGATTAATAATTTTTTCTCATATGGCAAATTGAATAATAATAAACTATCTGATTCTTTATCATCATATTATTCATTCAAATTTAACCACTATCTGGTCTTCCGTTCCTGGTTTTGTGCGATGACGTTGCACAACTATATAGTATTAAATTTTCCAGTTTTAAAATATCTTTAGAATTCTTTAAAGAGCTTATTTTCACCAGATAAAATAGTTCAAATAAGAAGTTTTAGAATTAAAATGTGAAAGCTAATTTTGATTAAAATAGATGACGTATATGTTTTCAAATAAGATTGCATCAATTTTCTGATGGATTTAAATTAATGACTGGGAAAGTTGTTATAAGTGTCCCCGGCATAGTTGTGTGATGAATTATTCATGTGACGAATAAGTATTTGCTAATTAATTGTATTAGTTAAATATTATTCGCTACATAGTCACTCCCACGTACCAAATGGAAACGGTCGGAATTGTTTTTTAATATTAATCAGTAATTACGTATAAATAATAGATCATTGTTATTTATCAGTGACTACGTAAAATTAATAGATCATTATGATTTTTTATTTTTACTTTCGTTAAAAATGCTACTTCTAAAACATATCTGATCCTAACATTTCCGACTCTAAAGAAATTAGTGAATCTTCTGAAGAAGTTATTACATTCGAAAAAATTTCCAATATCATACTGTCTAAATTTATCTAGCCGTTCCAGCAACATCCACCACATGTGAACGTTTTCAGTGATGCGGGTAACTTAATGAAATCAAAGAGAACATGAATTTCCCGGAACTCTTTAAAAGAACGATATTTTTAAAAAGGAATATCGATCAATATCAAAATATTCATCTTGAATAATATGTTATTATTGTTAAAAATTAAATAACTTGAATTTTAGCAGCAGTGTAATCAATTTTATTTACTATAAACTCCCCCAATAAATTCATGAAATGTTATGTAAAAAAATCTAAAAAAAAATAAAAACAAAGACAAATGATGTTTTAGAAACAAAAAGAAAGATCCATGTTTTTAAAACAAAAAAAAAAAAGATCCATGTTTTCTAAAAACAAAAAAAAAGATCCATGGGTTTAAAAAAAAAAAATCCATGTTTTTAAAAACAAAAAAAAAAAAGAACTTCTAATCCAATCTTATTTGGATTTCTTATGAAATTCATCTATCTCTCTTCTAATCTTTCTATATACATTCTCAAATTTTTGGACTTTACTTTGAAGATTAGATATTTCTTGATTTCTATCGTTTATGATCCTTTGAAGATTAGATATTTCTTGATTTTTATCGTTCGTAATCCTTTCAATTTCACTAAGTAGGTTATTTTGAATAACTTTATGTTCCTCGATAAGTTTCGTATTTGATTCTTCCATAATTTTTTTTTTTTATCGTTCAAAAAGTCGGTTTACTCTCAAAAATTACAGAGTTAAAATATAGATGATTGTTGTGATGATCCCAATTTAAATAGAAAACAGTCATGGGAAATATTCGTTATCACGAATGTGAACAATTTACACATGACTATAAAATTCGTCATCATGCATGTGACAATCTACACATGACTATAAATACGTTAAAACATAAATTACTATTATATTAATCATAATTTGCAACATTGACTATCAAATACTTTAAAATTGAATTGTCATTATTAGTCATAAACTGTACGTAATATTGTTAACTATACTTCAAAGTAAACTTCACAAGCTTTTTCATCATCTTAATGTTTTAAAAATTAAAAGCACTGGTATAAGCGTTACAAGTTATCAAATGGATAAATTACCTTACATGCCAAATAATTAATTAAAGACTGCTTATGTACTAATAAGTCGTCGAAAAACTTATCAATTAATGAAAAATACGATAAAACTTCAATAAATCATTAGAAATCGAGCTATATGATTGAGAAAACGTGGCGAAACATATTTTAAGATCAAGCAATATGAAAAAGCGCTTGCAAATTTAAACTATTCTTTAGATAATGCATTTGCATTGAGAATTAGAGGTGAAATGTTATTACAAATTGAATAGATGAGGAAATGATCAAAAATCTAACGAAATAGAAATTGAGAAAAAAGAAAAAAAGTATTTACATTGAATTATCGTGGATCAGCATTTATCAATTGAAGATACGAATCGCTCGTTGATTTGAATGTCAGTAATAAGAAACTGTGCAACTTATAAAGAAATAGTAATATGTGTGGAATTGCTTAACCAATTAGATGATTCTTTGTAAGTTAAACCTGATATGTATATACTTTAAGAAAGAGTGAGGCAATCCATCGAATTATGAGAAATTATGAAAAAGCCTTAAAGATTCAAATGGATTCATCACCAACATAGGCAGCTTATCGAGCAATTGAGAAAGATGATGAATCACTTGTAGATTTAAAAAGGTTAGAATTTAATCAAATAATGCTTTTGCTATAAACTGCTTAATATTGTGTATATTGAAATAAAAAATACAATGATTTGACAAAAATTGAATCAGAAAATGGATGGCTATGGATAAGCAAAGAGAAACTTCTCATGAGATAGAGATATATGATGATTGCTTATTAAAAGCCAATTAAAATATAGCATGGGCTTTGCGAAAGCGTAGAAGAAATCTTGGAAATTGTGCCAAATAATTCTTACGCATAGAAAGATAAAAGAGTAATTTATCAAACTTTAAGTATTTACGAAAAATCATCAGCAGACCTTAATAAATCATTAAAAATCGAATCAAGTGATGCATTTGCACTAAAAAACAAAATAGTATATAATCATATAAAAATCATTTAAGAATTTAAAACAAGTATAAATTCGATCAAATTATGCAAGAGCAATAAGAATGAATCGAAAGCATACCACAAAACTGGAATATCAGAGAAAGTGCTCAAAGATTTGAAAATTAGACTGTATTATGTGTTCGATTTAGAAAATTGATGAATGACTTATTGAGTTATGAAAAATAAAGAATTAATTGAAGGCTTCAATAAATACTATGCCAGATAATATATAGACTTTAAGACATCGAGGAAAAGTTTATTGCTTAGTGAGAAGATATGAAGAAGGAATTATAGACTTCTAATCGTTGGAATGATGCATGGATATTGAGAAATCACTACGAATTTAACGGAATCATTTAATTTCGATCCAAAGAGTAAGAAACAGAGAATCAACATATCAGATGTTAATTAAATAAGAAGAAGCATTTGATGATTCAAACGATCTTTAGAAATTGACCCAAACAATGAATTAAATAAATCAATCATTTTGTTTGTTATAAGAAATTGAGGAGTCGTTTATCGTAAAATGGGAAATATGAAGAATCGCTTATCTGTCCACTTAGATAACAAGATTATCATTTTATTATAAGAATTGATTATCTCAAAGACTCAAAGCAATAAACAGTAAAAGGGGCTGTTTTTTTCAACACTCTACCCCTCGTTATAGCAGACCATGTTAAAGTGGATCCCTCATTATGGCGGAGTAATTTTAAAATTAATTATATAACGTAATAACGGATATTTGTTATAATAGATGGAATTTCGCAGCCGATTACCATGTTATAACAAGGTAGTGTGTGTTTTATTCGTGTAATTGATTTAAGATTTTTACTTAACAAATCTATTTATAATAAGGATACAAAGAAGCCAAAACATGTTTTGAAAGATTTTGAAAATGATGAAAGAGAAAGCATTATGCTACAGAAGAGATTACAATATTGAAACAGATATAGTCTTCAGAATTGTTCTTTAAAATACCATAAAATTTTAGAAATCAAGATCTTTGTATAGTAACTACATTATGCATTTGACTTTATAAATATCAGTAGAATGTAGAAATGAGTTATACATTTGATAAATCATTTAAAGATTAAATCAAAATTAACTTAAAATTATCTTTTATTTTCTTGATTTACAAAATATAATTATGAAAGCCAGATAATCAATTTTTCAAAAGCTATACTCATTCTGAATGGATAGGTAGATCATTATCCCAACATGTTAATAAAGCTCAGAATATTGAAAATATGTGTCTTCTATGTGCTTTTCTCTATGTCTTAGTATACATAAATAAAATCGCTTCATTTTTTTTACTGCTAGAGATTTTCAAAGAACTTCACCAAAGCTTTCAAAGCTATAATATATTATTTAAATCACATTGATCCAGAATAAAGCACTGAGGATCAATATATTTTGGCATTCTATCGACCTTCTAATGTGAAGAGGCATTTTCTTTAATCTGAACTCTAGTATGTTAGAAAAATGACTTTAATAAAATTGCATAACCAAGAATTATACCTTATTTACTGCCCTTTTTTTATTCAAATATTTTTAGGACCTTGCCTATTTTAATTAATTATATTGCTATATACATCCCTATAAGAAAAATAGTTCGGATCGGTACGGGTTGGTTTCGGATAGGCTCCGGCCATTGTGGCATGGGTCGAGATCCGGATTTGTACGTACGGGTATGGTCCGAGTTAGTACAGATTCAGTGATCCATGTGGGACCGTATACCCATGCCAATTGGACCGTAAATAGTATGGGTTTTGCAGCAGTTTACTAGTATATAGGCACGGGATTTGGCACAGGTAATAATATGTAAGTTCACGTGCTACCGCAATAACAAATATCAAACATGTTAAAACATAAAATTTAGATTAGTAATCAATATAATACGAACAAACTAACTGCATGTGAAGTAACATTTTATAAGGAATCTTTTTTGTTAAAATACTCCGAGCAGCTTTATCAGTGAAATTATGAGATATTACACTTTTAAAAAAAATCATTTATTGATCTTTTGCTTTCCGCGAAACGAGCCAACACGTGCGCAACATACACATACGTGTCATCTGAATGTGTTGTTCCATATGACGTGATATAACATACAATGTCCATGCCATGCCATTCCGTAAAACGTGCCATCTGTGCCACTTCGTATATTGCCGGAACCAACCCACACCAACAACCCGTACCACTTTTCTTATAGGGCATTTTGGGTGGTGCGCATTTCACCGACAATCACTTCACAGACACCTCGTTTCACCGACAATTAATTCGCCGACATGTTTATTTCACAGACAAT